AACTCGTTATTCTATCAAAAGGAGGCATAAACGGGTTAGACGTATTATGCACAAGAATTTTGAAATGTTCTACGTAGCTGATATCCTCCCCGATTTTAGCAAATTTATTTTATTTTAAAAAGAAGTGCACATCCAAGGGTGCCCTTACTTTTGCGGAGCACTCTTTATCTCTATCCACATTTGAAATACAGAAGTCTCAGAGTTAAAAGCTTTGGTAATTGTTATCAGAGATCCGCACTGGCCGAAAATTTCAGGCCCGGCCCCATGAAAGAAATTTTCGGACCAAGCCCGGCTCGGACCGACCGAACCTTAAATTTATCTGACCCGGCCGAACCACTCCTGAAAGTTTTCTGGCCCGGCTCGGTCCGATGAGGAAAGTTTCCGGACCGACCGCAGCTCGGCCCAACCAAACCAGAATTTAACTGATCCGGTACCACCGCTCTTGAAAATTTTCTATTTCCAAGCAGGAGTTTTCTTGCATCGATAATGCTTGCGCTGACCAGATGGTATAAATATATTTTTCAAGCCAATATTTATATTTTCTTTTTTTCAAGTTTTATAGACATAAGGTAAATGTAATATTCAGATATATAGGAAAAACAAGCACAAATAGTATAGTATTGATCACGTTTATGTTAAACATAATGTTTTATCGATCTATTTAACAATATGTCGTTAACTAAATCTGGACTAATTCGTGATCGTCTTTCTGACACGACAAAACCAAGAAACCACTTCTGTAAGATGTCGCGTAACACTGATAACACTGTTTCTCGGTGCTGACTATTCACATAAATTAGAAATCTATGCATGCTTGAAGAATTGCGTGTACAGTATAATTTCGAAAAACAGAAGAGTCTTTGCTTTATAAAGTGCAGTTGAATAAACTGGCCTACTTCTTCTGTTATGTTTAGGGGGTGGACCGTTACTCGTTACCGTTACTGCGGTAACGGTAACGATTTCATTCGGCTCTTTCCAACGGCGTGGTTTTTAAACTTCGAAAGTATGTTCGTACTAGTTTTCCAAAGGTCGAATTTCTTGAAAACCTGTTCAAATACACTCTGAAAGCTTGAGAACCATGCCATTGAGAAGAGCAGATATAAAAACCTATAAAAGAGTGTTCAGAGGCTTTCGAGCTACATTTCTACCACGTGTTATCCAAGAAAAATTCTTGATCTGGCCCGGCCCAATCGGACGAAAATACTATTCGAGCCCGGCCCAAGCGCTCTATGAAATTTTCTAGCACCGCCGTGTGGATCTCTGATTGTTATCGGGAGAAGAATTTTCTGCTTCTGGCTTTTGTTGTACAGCAGATTTTCTGTCCGGCATAATCTGATGTTGATGGTAGATATAAAATCACTTCAAATTATTCTGATCCGAATCCGAAGGTCTAAAAACATTTTTTTGATCTAATTTTTCTAGTTCAGAAATATTCGGCCCATACGGATCTCCGATCTGAACTGCCCTAAAAAAGTTTTTTGATTAATCCAAAATGATTCAAAACCCGTTTTATTTTTGAGATATTTTTCTATTGAAATTCTACTAATAAAAGAAAAATGCAACTACTGTGAAGCGTGAAGAAAAATTTTCTACGAAAATAATTAATTTTTATAAGAATTATTATTTAAATTTCGAAGTCCAAAATTTTCATTTGACTAAATACATTTCAGTTTCTGCTCAAGGTAACGAAATAATCTTTGCACTGTGTCTCTCTATATCGTTAATTTTAGGTTCAATAGAACGTTTACTAGAAGAATATTTACCAAAATTAGTTGATGGTATGTCAGGTGATGCCACACATGGAATCATTAATTTGGGTTACGCTGTTCATTCTCCTTATAAACAATCATTAACGGAGGCATTAGCTTATATGGTCTATTCATACGTATATCTTGGGCATCTGGAAGCATATGATGAAAGTGGCATAACCGACGTTGTTGTTCATCCTTATGATGGTTGTAATGAATTTGTTCAATTATTAAAATATGTTAATAAAGATGCATTAACAATGCAACAAGAAATGGAACAAAAATGTCTCGAAGAACCCTATCGTCAATTGCCTGGTACAGTTGGAAAACGTTTATTTATAATACGCGATACTCAAGAATACAGTTTAAAACTTCAACAATATGTTAGACAAATAAAAGCAATTGATAGAGTAAAAGATGAACAATTGATGGAATTAACACACGC